CTCAAAAAGAAATTCACAAACACAAATACGCAGAAGCTATCTTTTCGTTTGTCAGTTCTTTGTCAGTTTTCATATTTTTTTAAACTAGTTTGAAATTTAGGAGGCCAGATACAATCGGCCCACGGCCAGTTTGAGAGAAATTCTCTTCCGGAAGAGACTCCAATTGCACGTACGATCTCGAACTGCAATCTTCTTAAAACCTACTACGGGATTTTCTCTAATCCTTCAAGTCCATCAATGTTCTTCTCTTGCGACAAAGTAGCTTAAGACCGAGGAGTGGATCCCGGTACAAGCGACGGTATTAAAAATCTCGGGCGGTCCGATAAATTTGAAGATACCGTGGAAGGAACAGGAAAAAGATTTTTTTTTTCCAACAGAAATCCGTGAAGACTTCGTAAATCAAGACGACAGTGGCGAGTCGAGGCTTGTGATCTTACACGGCGCATACGGCTGCAACTTCTTCTCTTTGACCAAAAAGGGCCGTGACGTCATCCCGCGCTGCCAGAAGCAAAAGCCTGATGTAATCCGCGCCGTACGTATGTACGTGCGCGCACCAAGACGCGAAAAAAAAAAAAAAAAAGAGAAATGAGGAAGCGTTTCAAAGGAGGAAGAAAAAGAGGACGATGAAGAAGGGATGTACGCGTTCCCAAATCGAACGGCCGTTCATTACGGCGACAGAATGCGTAATTCGTCATGCCTCGCGCCTTTTAAATGGCCACTCGCGTCGCCGACCGATAAGCTCGCCTCTCTTCGCTTCTTCTCTTTTCTCTCGTCTCTTCAAGCAACTCGACTTATACAATTGCGTTCGGTGAAATGTCGAGTTTTTCGGAGCAAAGAACTTCGACGAGAGAATAAAATTTTACTTCAGTTAAGTAGAGAAATTCTAAATATTGTTTTTTATTTTTTAACATTTACAAAAAAGAGAGAAAGGAAAAAAGTTTTTTTCAAGCTCTCCGTGATTCTCTGAAATTGGATTCTGTTTCTTTTCACTGAAAACGACAAAGGACGATCATGATGCGTATTTTTCACGTGTCAGGTTTCCTTAATTACACTCTATCGTGTGAGCGATCGATGCGACACAATTAGCAAGCGATGCGCGCCGCAGATGAGACGGTGTGACATGCCACACGCCATTATAATTGGCGAATTGTGGTATAAACGTGGCGACGCGGCAGCCCCGCAATAATAACCGGAATTTTCGATCTTGCGTAATGAATTTATGACAGGGGCGGCACTTTCTGTTAGCTCCGATCGAAAGTTGCACCCCTGAAACGGGGATGCAAAGTGGATCGGTTTGATGTATCGAGGATGTGACAAGCCTATTCCGCGGCTATCGACATTATTTTTCTTGGAACTTCTTTTCCAGTTCGAGTTAGACGAACCGAACGTCCGCGATAGCAAATAAATCACTGGCAAGTTCGGTGTTATATTAACGGTTCCTTGAAGATATCTTTCTCCGCCAGAGCTCGAAATGATTTGAGAAGAGTCTTCAGAAGAAAAATAAAAAAAAAAAAAAAAAAAAAAAAAGTTTTCGTTTGAAAAGAGCGACTTCCTTAGAAGCTTGTTTATATATCTAGAGCAGTGTGTGCGTACTCTCATCGCGATGATAGTTAATTAATAAATTAATCGTGATGGTTAATTAATAAATTAATAAATCAAATAGAGATAATTAGATACGCGGATTCTCTGCGTGGTACGCCATCAAGTTGTTGTTTGTCTTGCGAAACATTTAATTTGAGGATTACAATTACGAAGACAGATGCCGTCCTATTTCGCAGTCCACAACGCAAATGAATAATTCGCGTCCCCCTCGCGCGATTAATAAGCGCGAGATGTGTCACGGGCACCAACACTTGGTCATTCCGTTGACCACAAGCAACTGCAGTTCTTTATTTGTTTGCGTTATTTTTTTGGTAATTACGTTGCTAAATTGTCCCAAATGCGATAACACAACGCGATAATATATATATATATATATATA